GCCATGCTTCCACGTCGACGGCCAAACCGAATATTCACGGTTCCACGGTATGCTCTGTATTTGGTGGGACGAGCTCGGCGTAGTGCATTATGAGTTGTTAAAACCGACTGAAACAATCACAGGCGATAGTTATCGAACGCAATTAATGTGTTTGAGCCGAGCATTGAAAGACAAACGGCCGCAATACAACGAGATACATGATAAAGTGATTTTACAGCACGACAATGCTCGACCCCATGTTGCGAAAGTGGTCAAGACATACTTGGAAACGTTGAAAATGGAAGTCCTACCCCACCCGCCGTATTCTCCAGACATTGCTCCCTCGGACTATTACTTGTTTCGATCAATGGCACACGGCCTGGCTGACCAGCACTTCCGGTCTTATGAAGAAGTTAAAAATTGGATCTATTTGTGGATCGCTTCAAAAGATGACCAGTTTTTTCAACGCGGGATTCGTATGCTGCCCGAAAGATGGGAGAAAGTAGTGGCCAGCGATGGACAATACTTTGAATCATAAATGTATAACCAGTTTTTTACAATAAAGCCTCGAATTTCGGAAAAAAACGGCGGAAGCAAAGTTGTACACCTAATAGTATTTTTTATTTTCAGTCGAATTTATGTTTCAAACCATGCCGGCAATGAGACGTACAAACTTAAATCGCAGAACCCGTAATGCCTCAAGTCAAAGAAATAGAAGAGCAAGTCTAACAGATGAGCAACGTGAAACGTGGAATGAAGTTAAACGGAATCGATGGAACCGAAACCAACAATATGTACAATTAATTTTATGCCAACTTTTAAGGTAAGTGTATTGAAAAACATTTACCACTATTGTTGACAGTTTTTAATTGTAATGGTGTATCATTTGAAATGGCTTAAAGTACATTTGTAGCTCTGTGAATTACTTTTAGTAGCCAGAAGGAATTGTGTTAAAAAATTTTATGGGGAAATGGTAGTGCTCACAAAGTATTTTGAGTGTCACTTGGTGGGTTGAACAATTCACTTTACAATATTATGTATATGTAATACAGGAATGTTTACCTTTGCAGATTCAAGGACAAATATATCATTGAACTTATTAGTTGTCACCAGTGCCGTTCAGTGACTATAAATTTTCCAAATTAATTTCATGGGCGATCAGCGTTGTGCACACAACTATTCTGTGAAAAGACCAGTTGTGGAACAGTTCCAATTATTATTCCATCAACACAAACCATTGGTTGCATTATTCAAGACCGCATTCGAACACATGCCATCTGATAATCACAAAATTGTTATCAAACACATAAGACATTTTAATGTCCAAAGAATCTATGAAATCGCTATTGTCATTGTGGGTGAAAATGTAGCCACAATATTGTTTTACACCAGTGTAACAATCAACTGCAGCGTGTGTCCGAAACACATCGAACATATGAATATGAATATTTTAATGAAGATGATAAATCCAGTTACAGGTAATTAAAAAAATTAAGTTTTTAATGTTTATCATAGCTTTAAGTAATTTAATCACAAAAAAATGTTCTTAGGTTCTGAAACTAACAAAAAAGTTAATTCAATGAATTATTATTCATACAGGCTTATGGTTGGAGAACTTAAGGTCAATCACATCTTAATATGTTAGCCTCTGTCACCAATATGCTGTTGATATGTATGTAAAAGTGGAAACTGAGTGATTAATGTTTATCAGGTTGAACCAGGTAAGAGTCCATTGAGGAATAAAGAAATTAACTTCATTGAGATAAAAAGGTTACAGATATTTCTTGATTATAGGGCGATACGAAGTTCGCCAGGTCATCTATCTTCTATCTATCTATCTATTCTATCTTCTATCTTCTATATATATATATAAATGAATTGCTGTTCCTTGGTCTCACTAAAACTAGAGAACGACTGAACGGATCTATCTTATCATAGTCTTGAAATGTTCGTGGAGGTTCAGGGAAGGTTTGAAAGCTGAATTTTTTTTATTAATTTCCGGGAAAACCCTAAAAACATCGCTTTTTTATTTCCCATACAAACGGTTTTTTGACATTAGATTTGACAACTAACTAATATGTCAATCATTTTGTCGCACTTCAGAACACGGAGATTTATGACTTAAAGGTAAACACCAAAAAAATAAATAAGACATAATTTATTTCTTGATTGAGGCAGTACGAAGTCTGCCGGGTCAGCTAGTTAGCTAGCTAGGTACATTGGTTTTCAAGGCTTCCTATATTATGATCAAATGTTGTATTGATGTTAGGAAATTGGAAACATTTCCTCCCAACTTAATTGGAAACGGGAAGTAACTTCATCCTCTTACAATTTTCCATTCCTATAAATCGATGGTTATAAAATAATATAAAAATTCTAATGATGTTATGATATTATTTGCATGTTTTATTTGTATTATCTCACTTAAGGTGTGGCTTTCACTGTCAGAAGACGGATTTCGTAATCGTTTTATTAACCGATTTCAAAAGAAGCGGCGGTTCTCAATTTGTCGGAATCTTCTTTTATAATGTTCTCTGATTATCCTAATACTACTATAACGAAAAAAAAATCTTTTTTTATCTATAAGCTTACATCAGCTAGGTGGTTCAATGGTCAACATTTGAAGGAAATATTTTTTTATATATAAATGCACATTTGAGAAAGTCTTTATTCACATTTTTCATATGACTCCTGCAAAAGTCGTGCTTTATTTCGTTCTCTATTATCTTTATTTCTATTTCTAAGCTTCAGATGCTCATTTTCGTCCATTTCAGACTCCTAAGCTCGAATTTTCTTATAAGGGATGTACATAAGAAAAAATATATAAGACAGAGAAGTAAAGGTAGAATTTTGTTAGTTACCGTATTTTAAATATGGTCAGCAAGCGTAAAAACTACATAGTTTCTATATACTAATAAAGTTTACTTACTCATTTCATCAATAAGTATAGACAACTAACTCAAGTTTAATAATGCCTACGGAAGTGATATGAATGATAGATCAGAAAATATATGTAAATGCTATTAATAATTTTCAGTGCCTTTATTTGTTTCTAATATTTAAATTAAGAAAAAACTGTGGTTATTGAAATGAAAACTCTAAATTAAATAAACTTTAAATGTTTTATTTATATATTTTCTCGAAATTTGTACTTTTAAACAATTAATTACTTCCAAATACTGTATTATTTTATATAAATGAGAGAAGATTAAAATTAGTACACTTCGCTTGCGGTCACTGCTTCCAGCGAGTACCGGTTGTTAGAATTTATCGCCACAATTTTCATATGCAGTACGAGAATAAAAAAATATCCGACTAATAGTAAATGTATTTTGAATTAATAAAAGTTATTTAATAAAGCAGTGAACATGATTTTATGAGTTCCTTGAAAGGCAGGAATAATTTAATACAGTTTAAAACGTATACGTTACAAAGTGAGTACGTTTGTGAGACAATTATCGAAACTTAATCTTTGTACGAACATACACTATAATATTTACACAAAATAGTTTCATGGGTTTTTATATTGATTTTATATTCTCTTTCTTTCAATTTTTATATATCCGAAATAATTTACCTAAACAGAATCACAGCATATCTGCCATTTAAGTGCATCCTTTGAACAGTTTTTAATGGATTTGTGTGTTTAAAGGTAGTGAGTTTATAAGAGGCAAGAGGAATTTGAGAATTTGGCTGTCATATTATAAATAATAAAAAGTAAAAAAAAAATAGTTTTTTATTTCACTTACCCAGCCAACATCCTGCGAGCAGAGCAACGTTCACATTTGTAACGTACTCGCAACATATTGAATATTAAAACTAACATCGTTGGGATAACACAATTTTATGGATAAAATATCATATTATAACTAGTGACGTTGTTGACTCTTCAAAACAAACGCCTCCTGATTCCTGATACCACACAAGAAATGGAATGGCGTTGCTATTCTAACATCGGAGCAATGAGGTAGTCTCAGGTAGAGGATAAAATTTTACATTATGTAATTTTTATTATAGTATACCTATAAACAAGTTTCGTAGCTTGCCTAAAAACCTATTGCTGGTAGTGAAACGTATCTTTTATTTAATTCTTTAATAAAGAAACTTTGTAATGAACAATAAAAACGTGACAATATGTGAGGAAATGAATTTAAGCATATTTCTAATAGTTTAATTATAATTAATATGTTGTAATTAATCACATTACTTTAAAATATACAATGAAGTGCTAAGTTGTAGCTTTTTCAACTGAATCGATTTTGACATTTCAGGATAACAATTGGTAGTTAATTCTTTTTAAAACTCAGAGTATGAAAAATTCCAACCTAGTGTACATGTAACCAAATTAGAATGTGTATATTTTATTGAGCGCATTGTATCTTTTTAAAGATGAGGGAGTTATAGATTAGTTATATATAACAAAAAGTCATTTCCTACCATCTAAAAAACAGTTATAAATTTTGTACTTAATTTAAATATTATTAGGAATATTATACGGAACCGATGAAAACAGATGTTGTAAAAATAGAAATCACAATATCTCTCTTTGCAAGTATTCAACTGATTTAATGAGTGATTCCAACTAATTGAAAATATAAATTAAACATGTCAAACTGAATCAGATACTGAATAAATAACATATAACTCATGAAGCATAATGTTACATCATGTAAAATTATGTTTGGTTGTGATCAGTGATAACACAATAATACAGTAATTACCTATCGCTTGTTAATCGTTAACCACGGTACCGCTAAATATTTGAATAGTTTTGTAATATTATAATCAAATACATATACTTTTGTTTTAATAAGAAGAACTACATTTTATACATTTGTACATATAAAATCAATCGCTATTGTTACGACATATGAGAATTATTTGAATATACATACCTACATATGTCATACTATCATTAATTTTAATTTAGTCTATTTATTTCAATCAAATCCTTCTATATAACTCACAAAAGGAGTATAATTATATAAATTAATTTAATTTAAAGTTTATTAAAATGAAAAATGATAGTTTTTCGTAATAAATGCTTGCTATGTTTAATCAAATGTCGTCATCCAGAATGTCCTGAACAAATTGATTGGGTAAAAGGTTTAAGTCAAATAAACATCAAAGAACTTGGTCAGCCATCAGTCGTTTGTCATATATATATATCATATTCATCACATTACTTATAATTAAGAACGGCTTTAAGAATTTGTAAATTTGTTTGGAGGTAGTTTGGAAACAGGCGGTGACGTAGCATACTTTTCATTAAGCGAGGTCGAAATTTAAATAAATAATTACTTAACAAAAACTGGTTATTTACTGCCTCTTAAGCGTTATACAGTAACGCCTGGTTAGCCGTACTTTTCTATTCCTGAAGTGTATTATGAAGAAAGAAGATAATATGTGTATAATAGGATATACTCTTAATATATATGTGTATATCCTTAGACATGGATATCTGGCTGAGAGCGCTGAGTTGGAGGAATAGGTTGCGGAGCAGCAAGCGGCCGCCTCCAGTGAGGACTACGGACAGGATTTTGAACACTTACTGGTGAGTAATGATATGTAAATTATGATGATGATGATGAAAGGGTACTCCAGCTATCACACTTGGTGATGAACACATTATTCCATTACATCTTCCAATATAAACAAAGAATGTCGCTTTGAAATTTCACGAAAAAACGTTCAGCAATACTATTTTTAGAAACTAACGAATGAGTGATGAATTTCGTTAAAATTTAAGTCAATTCGAGCTTTTAGTTTAGTTTTATTTAGTCTTTTTTTTATTTCTTGCGTCTCAGAAGGATGTGCAAAGATTACTATGTCATAATATTAAAAATACCCAAAGTTTTACTTATTTTCTTATTTATTAATCACAATTTCATTAAAATAATCTCCAAAACCCTTTAGCTATATCTATAATCTAAGACATCATATCTCTCCGACCACAGATACTCCGGTCCAAGTTCGAAGAGCTCCGTCAACGTGTAGAGAGTGGGGCGGAGAGGTTCAACCAGTGTGAGGAGCTGGCCAAGAAGCTGGTCGCCTCAGACAGCCCCTGACATATATAAAAATGTCATCGCTGACATTGAAAAGAGACAGGAAGTGCTCGGGTGAGGGAATCTTTGAAAATGACCCTTAATTACATAGATATAGGATCTAATATACATACTCAGCATGTTCGAATCGAATTTATACCAAAGAAAATTGAGACTTAATGACATATATACAGAATTTAATTTAGACAAAGAAAATGAGACTTAACTTCCTATATATAAGATCTAATTCAAAAAATCTACATGTCATTAAAAACAACACAAAATGAGATTTAATTCCATATGTATAAGATCTAATTTACATAATCCACAAGTCCAATACAATTCATACATTCCAGCGAGTCCTGGCAGCGTCTAGTAGAACAGATCCAGTCTCGCAGCCAACGTCTGGCTGCTGCTGGCGAGATACACCACTTCCACCGCGACGCCCGGGATCTGATGAGAACGATATGGTTGCTGTAGATGCGCAGATGCAGGTACTACAAGAAAACTATTAAGATTGACTTATAATGAGATCTAAGATTTCCGCGAGTATTCATTTAAACGATATATACTATACTACCTGACTTATTTTTGATAAAATTACATAATTCCGACGTTTCGTTTGCTTTGCAGCGACCGTGATCAGGGGCAGATGATGTGTGAAATATTAGTTTCATTTAAATGAATACTCTCCAAAGTGTATCTCATAATGTATTATTACATATGATATTTACAGTATTTTATAATTATATTGATATAAAACCCCTTTCCAGGTGCTCCAGGAGGAAGGATCTCGTCTCCAGTGGTAATGCCTCGGCGGCAACTCCCAGCAGCGCTGCGACAACAGGCGCTCAGTGAGGCGTGGCGGTCGCTGCGAGGAGCTGCAGACCTCAGGAGATAACTACTGCACCAACACCTGGAATTGCAGACTTTCCTACGCGAGGTATGTACTATGGGATTATATAAAGCTTAACTAAGAGACATTTTTATATATTAACTACTAATTTATGTGTGTTAGTTTTGATTTAGTATATACAAAGTGTAACATAGTTAACATTAACGCACACCCTGAAAGTAGTTTGTTCAGAATCGGAATCTGGATTGATTTTTATAGTTTTTTATGTAGGTCATTTTTTTCTCATATTTAGATAGGACTAAGTAAATTACAGTCATGCTACACACAGTTATCTAAACTTTTTTATTATATTTTTATTATAGCCTTTATTCAGATCTTACAAATAAGTGTTAACAATAAACTATCTTAAAAATAAACATAATATCTTAAACTTAATAAGCTACTTAAACTAATATCTGTTCCTTGGTTAGATCTGTTTGCCAGTCGGCAAAGGCCTCCTCCAATTTTTATTGATTTTGTTTTTTTTTTATTTTTTTTATTTTTTATTTTTGGTGGTTACTGTTTTTTAATCTTGGAGGGTTGTGGTCGTTTTCCCCCACGAGGACCAGTCGGCTTGGGGGAGGATTAATATTTTTTGTTTGTTTTTTCTTTATTTGCTGTGATCTTCCGGTAATCGATGTAAGTTAATGGCTATTCTTTATTTATTTCTGATGTCGAATGGGATCTGTTTCTGTACATTTTTTCGAAGGCATTTATTTTATTAATTTTTGGTCGACTATTTTCGTGGCCTTTGTTTGGAGAGTTTGATTGTTCTCTCTTCCGTTTATCCCGAACATCACCATTTTTGTCCTTTACAACAAGCTTATCGTATTTTATATATGCTATAAGTCCCTTTTTTCTTTCTTCTTTTAGCTGCGGTATAAGTTCTCTCCGCTTATCCAAAACTTCTTTACTAAAATCTTCACTGACAAATATATTTTTGGGTAGTCTACTTTTGTTTATAAAAATTTCGTTTCTCTTCCATACGTTCAAAAAGTTAACTAAAATCGGCCGTGCTTTCCCTTTGTCATTTGCTTTTCCAATTCTAAACACTTTGTTAATATTTCGCTTGTTTATTTCAATGCCCAAATCTTTAACGGTTTTTATTATCATTTCAATTACACCACTTTTATATTTTTCGGTCTCGTCGAATCCGTAGAAAATCAAATTATTCTCTCTTTTCTCTGATTCCAGATGTTTTAACTTCTCATTTAATTTCTCGACTTCATTTTTTAGATACAGATTTTCTTCCACTAAAGGCTTCAATTTTTCATCTATTTCTTCTCTGATAGAATGTTTTAAAAGTTTTGTTTGTTTTTCCATTTATAATTTTAAATTTGAAAATAATAGTTGCATTTGGCCGTCCATCTCGGATTATTATTGTTTTTAGTATTGGCAACACTGGTTTAATTTAATGCAAAACGCTCAGTAGTGCAGGCAACAATGTTTTATTTTTATTTTATTTTATTGTAATAGTATTATATTTTTTATAAATGACAACACTAGATCTATGTTTTGCCAAAACTTGCACTTAATTTGATATGCACTGAAGACACACACAGTACGTGTTACTATTTTCATAGATTTAGTCTTTAATGTTCGTTTCACTTGCACAGTTTATAGTTTTAGTATGTATTTTAACACTTTTATGTTTTTTCTTTGTGGATAACACTTCGTGACGTTTGCACAGTTAGACGGTCAAACCGGAAGCCCAGTTATCTAAACACTTCATTGAAACGAAAGTGGATGATCGTAAGTCAGAGTATTAAGGTTTTTAAAATGAAATATTAAATTAGTAATCATCATTCAATTAAAGAAAACTGATACTTGTTTCAAGGCTGAAATAGTATTTTACAAATATCTACTATCTACTATCTATCTACGCACGTGTCCATTGACCTCCTAGATCAGCTGATTTGACGTCACTCGACTTTTTTTTGTGGGGGCGAATTAAATTGCTAGTTTATAACACAGAGATAACAAGTGCCGAGGAACCAAAAAATAAGATAATAACCGCCTTTGTAAAAGTGAAAAGTGACACTGCAGTATTATCTAAAATAAAACCACAATTGCGAAAACGGTCATTAAAGTGCATTGAACAAGGCGGTGGACATTTTGAAAACGTTTTAAAACGACAACGTTGTGCGAGTGCAAATTAAACTGTAAGTTTGTTTATGATCTTTAAATTATTGTAAATATTTTGATTCCCACCATTTAAACACGCCAACTGTGTTTAACTTTGTCGTAGGTATTGTGGTGTCTAATCAAATCACTCGTTATCAGCTGTTTAATAATTCTTACTTACAAATTTAATTTAACAAATCAGTAATTATAAAATATTGGCTTCACATTAAAAAGAAAATTCAATGTCAACAATCTAAAGCTTGAAAAGTGTGACGGAAAGAAAAATCATAAATCATATGTTTCGTGTACTTATATATTACCTACTTCTTATTATTGTCGGACGACAATCGGAGAGAGGGGCGCCGGCGCGGCGAGTACATAGTGTCTGTCTGTGTATGCGTGTGCAGCGGAGTGTTGGTGAATAGCTGATCATATTATTTGCACGAAATTGGGATAACAAATTTCACAAATAAAAAATGCAAACGCATATATAAATAATATTTGGTGTATGCATTGCCTTTATATTATTATATTTTAATTGGGGTGTTTGAGGGTGTGCGTTAATTACGTTACATGTTGTATATATATACTAGCTGCCCCGCAAAACGTTGTTTTGTCATATCAAAAGTAGGGGTTTTGTGATTTAAAAAAATTAAAATTTAGGGTTGTATGAATTTTCTTATGTCAAAACGTAAAAAAATAAAAACGAAACCTTTCGTCCAAATTAAAACAAAAATTAGGGGTGAACAGCCCCTATTACTTAGGGTATGAAAAATAGGTATTGGCCGATTCTCAGAGCCTCAGACCTACTCAATATGCTTACAAAATTTCATGAGAATCGGTCAAGCCGTTTCGGAGGAGTACGGGAACGAACATTGTGACACGATAATTTTATATATAAGATATATATATCATCAATATCGTTCCCCAGCTCCGTGACGTCATCTCGTGGTCGTCATCCCTCCGCAGCGAGATATCATCCCCAGCTGCCGCACGCTCAGCAGCAGCGGCACATGCTCAGAGGGCGAAAATAGACGCGCGCGACGACGGGTCCAAGGACGCGTTGGCCAGGGGGCAGAGTTTACTCGATAAGGAACATCCCAGCTCAGCGGTTAGTACACCCTGGAACGATATTATACTATGAAAAACATGTTAGCAATAGTATATGGGATTAAAAGTAATATTTTTTTGTATTTACTAAGTGTTTATAGTATTTTTTTATAACGTACTACCGACATTTCACGGCCATCACGAAATTTATAAATAAATACAAAAAATATTAGTTACATTTCAATGATTACCCGCGAAAGTATATCTCATGAGAAAAATCTGTTCTGATTTGTATAACCACAGGTAGTTCTGGTTCATTAATCTCACTATTTAATACTAATTATTTCCAGGAGATCGAGGAGCGTTGCCGCACGGTAGTAGACGAGCTCGGTCGCCTCGCTAACGCGTGGGCCGAGCGGCAGGTGGCGTTGGACCAGCTGATCGACTGGCGCTGCTTCCTGAGAGACGCCAAGCAACTGAATGCTCTGTGTGCGGCGCAGGAGGCAGCACTCGGTTAGTTGTATACGGGTCACGAGATAAGGGAGCTCATAAAAACATAATGTCATATAATTTTCAAATTTAACTCGGTTTATGAAGTGGAACTAAAGTATATATAAATATATCTTATTAGTTAGTTTGAGGAATTATTAACAAAGTAGAACATGTATTTGTAATTAGTTATATAAGAATACTAGAAGACCCGGCGAACTTCGTATCGCCCTATTATCAAGAAATATCTGTTACGTGTTTTTATTTATATTTTTGGAGTTTACCTATTAAAGCCCTAAATCTCCGTGCTTTGAAGTGCGACAGAATGATTGACATATTAGTTAGTTGTCAAATCTAATGTCAAAAAAAAACGTATGTATCAACAACTACTAATAAATTAAAAATTAATTAAAAAAACATTGTCCAGCGGACAAAATTGTGAATCTAAACCATTCCCAGATCCCTTTGAACATACACAAAAAATTTCATCAAAATCGGTCCCGTCGTTTGAGAGAAGTTCAGTGACATGCACACTCACAGAAGAATTATATATATAAAGAAAACACTTTTGTAATGTAGTATGGGTTTAGTTTTGGAACATTTTGTTATGTATTTTATCTATTTTAATATTAATGATTAAAAGGCATAAAATATATGTGTGCGTAGAAACAAGATCAGACTTGACTTTAAAAGTAATATTCGATACAATGTCGTTATTAATTTATTGGATTTACATAAATATATATCAACTATCTCGATTTATACTTATAATGAAATGGAGTCTAATATAATACAAATGAGAGATTTAAACACAGAAAAACATCTACGATCGATTAATCTTTATCACCAACGCGTTACGAACGATAAGAGAGTCCTGATCTCCTCTGACAACCGTTTATATATCATTCGCCCCTCTCCTACCTTCACATATTCCTATAATGTATACTTTGACTAAATCTATATTAAATAAATTAATTTTATTTTGCAGGCAGTGAAATATCTCCAATATATGTTATACATATTATCAATATTCAACAGGATGACAAATTATCCACATTGAACAGCCACGGGGACACTACTACTGCAACAGAACCACGTGGAGAGCGAGAGAATACAGGAGGAACTGGCCGCGGTCAATGACCGGAGGAAGAAGGTAGGTGCATACATACAACATTAAATACTCTAAAGAATATTCCGTAAAGGGTGGGAGCGAGAGGCATAACGGCTAAATCTCTCTACAACCTACTAAACGACTTGGGCCTGTCCAGAACTAATTTCAATTCATTCTTGGAAGGCAGCCCTAGTAGGTTCGTTACAAATTAGGTAGGGAGAGGACCTTGGACGGTGGAGGTGAGCGTTTAACGCGTTAGATAGGGGTCCCTTAAACCTACACCTGAGTCATAAGTCGCAGTCACTGTTGAAGCTCCTCTCACTACAACGATGAACCCGACACCCGCACCGTGAATACATGGAATGATGAGAGGTTTCGTCACGCTTAATTTATTTATTAATTTCCAGCTGGACGTGGTTGTTGGAGTCCGTCGTGGAGCCCTACTCAGGGCGCGCCCTCGAGCTCAATTCACACGAGACACCGCTGAAGCCAGGAGCTGGGTGGCCGATAAGATGGCGCAGCTGCAGCTCATTACTGGTAACACATCTAACATATATATATATGACGGTGCGTCGATTTTTGGATGAGTTTAATAACAAAACTTCTCAGGGAATTCATTTGAATTGTTCCATAAAATTATGAGCGGTCCATGCTGAATAGGGTAGAGATTGTCACTGAATGTGAGGACGGCCAGAATGCTATGGGCAACCGTCAAACAAAGTGCACAAGACTAACCTATTGGCTCATAATCCATATTCATCTTTTTATTTAAATGTAATTTTTAAATACAATTGTAAAGAGATCTAGTTATAATATATTGTAAAACGTAAGTGTGCTTTTATTTATGAGTTCCAATCGTCACAACGCCCATGATGGATATGAAAAGCCTAGACCGCCATGAAGCATCCTCCTGACGCTCGTTTATATATATATATTTATATTTACATATATATATATATATATATATATATATATATATATAACCAGTCTTTCGGAGTATGAGATAACGCTCTCTAGTGGGTGATAGGCCCAAAAGGCAGGAAGAAACCCAGACAATAAATAGGGGCGTTGTGTAGAGTCCTGAGTAATTTGCAATTTCATCTAGCTAGGATAAGTTATAGTGGTTTAACAGTAGGTGAAGAAATGGGGACGTCGAAAAATAAATTATGCTCAAATAAGGTGACAAAATAAGGGACTCGCTACTAAAAACTGCATTATACTGCCATATTATAGTTATTTGCTCAGTAAAGGATATAATCAAAAATTCACATTGAGAACATTTATTAACTATCGCCTTCCGATATCCAGGTGAAGTGACGGACCTGGAACAGCTGGAACGAGAGTGGACGACGCTGGAGGACGCCGTGGAACAAAGAGGTCAGTTATATATTATGTTTATAGGCATAGTATTTTAAGCTTGATAAGTTTATAATATACATATATAATAAAACATAGATATATTTTAGTTTATCTTTATGTATATGAATAAAATACTGAAGACTGTCTGTATGTAAGTTAACGAAAACACTCGTGTTAATGTCGCAGAAATATAAATTATAATACATAGCAAAAACAGATGATAATATAAGACATGACAAGATTTTCATGTTGCTCTGTCTGATTGTTAAATGTACAAAAATTATTTGAAATTTGCAACTTACAAAGCCAGTATAAATTTTACAACATCATAATGTTATCTTTTTTCTCTTTTTCTCTCTCTTTCTTTCTCTATTCTGTGACATCATTGTGACCGTCACATTTTGTATATATAAATAAAGTAATATCTGCATAACTCATCATAATTTGTCCGAAACCAACACTTCTATTCATATTTAATATATAACAAAGATATATAAATTTGTACATATATACACATATATAATACAGCGATGTGAAGGTGGATGACAACCACGTCAAGAGCGTGCAGGCCTTGGCTGACAAGCTGATGCAGCAGGTGAGACTAATATGCAGCTGTTATATATCAACTTCTCCAGGACATTCAATCAAGTAGACCAAGATACTATGGCGTTTAAGGGATGGGTTAGAGTCTTCTGATATGTGTTAATTAAAAAATGCGAGTACTAGACTTATGCAATGTATTAATAGTAAATGTACATGAATTATGTATATAGTAATGTTGTATATCAGGGGTGGTCGATCGCGATCGGTCGGTCCAGTCAATCGTGTCCAGTCAAAAAATATAAATAAATAGACCAGACTGCGCATTTTAATTATCAACAACCGCAGCATCGTCTTGTATCATTTTTCAACTTCATTCGTATTTTGGTTTAACATATTTATGTAAATCAACATTTTCCTACTTAAAACCAACCAAAACTAAACACTGTTCTCGCTTAACACACCCTCATAACCTGATTATGCTTAATTAGTGGAAAATGATCAGGAAAAATCCTCACGCTAATATATAGGACCCATATAATGCTAAGTAAATTTAAGAAAACGATCTCACATGTGATATGAAAAGAAACTACTAAGACTGGTTAATAAAAAATACATGATTGTGTACTAAACTATGCAGTTTCATTTCAAGAAGTATGTACTTGGTCGATCGCACAGGGTTTTGTTAGTAAACATTAGATCTTAGGTCTAATCAAGTTGGCCACCCCCGTTGTATATAATGTAATAATGTAACCCTTTATATACAAGTATTTGTATTGTATTGTAGTATTGTATTGTAAACATTGTATTTTAACCCTTTATATACAAGTATAAAACTGTATATATATGTACTATAAATATGTATCAAGTCAGCCATCTTGGATGTTCCGCCATATTGGATTCCGAATGACGTCACACTAACATGTTACTGTCATGAATTAAAGTACAATTTATTATTCATGTTGAATCTATTGTAAATGCCTGCATTATATACATATATGTGTGTGTTCGCCAGGGTCCGACCCAACACGCTGTCAGCGTCGCGGCCCGTCGTGACGGCGTGCTGCTCAAGTGGCGCGCGCTCACGGGGGCCCTGCAGCGGTACAGGGAGAGGCTGGCGGCAGCATTGCAGCTACACTCCTTCAATAGGTACACACACACATACACATACAGGGAATGATAACACCTTTAATACGTGATTATTACCATATACAGTGCTACTTAGTGTAAAAATAACAATGTAATTAAGAATCCAATGTGAAGTATAGAATGAAAAATTAACATAACACCGATTCGAATATACTACCTTCAGATAATATCATTCAAATTCATTTATCAATTAAACGCCCTCTAATGGACGCTGCAGGTCTAAAGGGCGGGTAAGAGACCCAGGAAAATAATAGGGCGTTGTATAGAGACCAAGTTGTTTTGTAATAACATTCAGATAGGATAAGTTATAGTGGTCTTACATAGATGAAAAATATTAAGCACTGAAAAATAACTTATTCTCAAACTCTACATAGACAACATAACTTTGTGAATGTATTATTTAAACATATCTAACCCATTATCATTCATGTAGGGACGTCCAAGAGACATCAGAGCGTCTGTCCTGCAAGGCAGCCTTATTCCGCAGCGAGGAGTGTGGCCGGGACCTTAGCGCGGCCCACGAGCTGAAGAGGAGGCTGGAAGCAGCTGTCCGAGAGGCAGGAGCTATAAGGGATTGGATACAACAACTGAAGAACGATGGAGCAGCGCTCGCGAGGAGGTAGATCAACCTGTATAGTAACTTGGACATATATATAGATATATATATATATATATATATATATATATATATATATATATATATATATATATATATATATATATATATATATTAACTTCAAACTAGAAAAAAAAGCACTGATAATCTAATTATTTAATCAATAACAATAATTTATTAATTTAATCATAATATTCTTCTCCCCCTCATCCTGAACAGCGTGAGATAATCGAGTCCCAGCTGTCTCAGATGCATCAAGGTTGGAGCAGCTGCAACAGCTGGCGGCCACGCGCGCTCCGACATGCTAGTCGACGCTATCAAGGAACACAAGTTTGAAGAGAACCTGAAAGGTTAGCGCTCTCTCTCTCTCTCTCTATAGATATGTATATATCAATAGCCCTGTAAAGACATCACTACTAAATGTATTTTCGACTTTTCGTATTTTATTAAATTAATGGAAGCTACGTCTCTGTACTAGTGTCATTTGTATTGTTTGTTTGTGTGTGTGTGTGTGTGTGTGTGTGTGTATGTTTGTGTGTGTACGTGTATAACATATTTGTACCCTTCATATAAGTAATATAATTGAAATAAAAAACATTTCTACTACAAAAAATTAGCCTATATCATTATTATGAAGTAAAATAAAATTTCAATCACTGTTATTAGTACATTATGTACAAGAATGCTTATAGTATACAATTATTTCATGATATTTAATAATGTTCTTACGAAATCCATACTTTTATATATCTATCCATAGAAATTATTAATTATTTAATGAAAAATGTAATTTTCAATATTTTATAACCGGTGTACATGTCTTGTAGGAGTTGGAGGTGTGGGTAACAGAGACGGAGAAGCGCCTGGACCGCGCGGAGCCCGACAGCGTTACAGACGCCCAGGCACAGCTGGAACACCTGCACGAGACCAAGGTAACACCTGGATATACACCTTCCAGCAGTACACATATATATGGATTAATTTGTGAATCTTCTAAGTCAAAACTGCTGCTATTTTAATGAAATAACAATAATATAGCTTATTTATCAGAATAACAAAGAATTATTATTATTTTAATTTAATATATAATTTATCTTTATATATATTAGTATTTTTGTTGTTGAAATCTTTTAGTAAAGTAATGTTTATGTAATAAATTCGCAGGCTGAGGTCTACTGTCTACAGTCGCCAGAAAGCTATCTCATCTCTACAGAAGGAAGCTGAGCAGGCCAAGGAGTTGGAGTAGGCGAAGCGAGTGGAGAAGCTGGCAGCTGGACTGGACCAGGCCTGGCTGCAGAGAAAATAGTATCTCACACAGGTATCTACATACAGAACTACTGGAATAATACTCAATGAATCAGTTGAAGTTAAGCAATGTCCGAATTGGTCATAACTTGGATGGATGATTGGATAATAAAAAAATATCTCGTATTCTGTTCTTATATTCAATAAATAAGATTATTCATAGCTTGGATTATTAATTGATACTAGTTCAGCTATGTCCGCTTCGATCATAACTTGGATGGGTGACCGGATGATTAAATAAATATCTCGTCTTCTGTTCTTCATAATACAGTAGAACTCCAATTATCCGAATTAATGGGGACTGGGACCCATTCGGATAATCAAATATTCGGATATTCGGAGTTTTTTTTAATTGCCATTGGAGAGAAAAAAAAGTTACGTTTTGATATTGCGCTATTTTTTTTATTGAATTAAATGAAAGACACATGATATTTTCACATGTTTTAAATATAAATAAATTGTACTTATGTACAAGTTTAGAAATAAAAATCATTGTTTTTTAAACATCTTCGTCAATGTAAGCTGTTTTGCGGTCTTAACTTGCCGTTGTGCCTACACTGACTTCACGGAGGGAAGAATAATAGCGCACTTAGATTTTTTTGCACAAATATTTTTTCGGAAGTGATTCGTATAATCGGCGATTCGAATAGTCGGAGTTCGGATAATTGGAGTTCTACTGTATCGGTAGGTTATGATAGAAGTAGAATTAACAAAAAAATAAAATATAAAACAAAAATATTTTTTTTTTCCATCTATAATCACAAAACGAAATGTTACATAAAACGAAGCCTTCTGATGGCGAAACGTAGTTAGCCGGGATTACTAGTTTTTAATATATAAATATTATACAAAGTGGTAGTCATAGTCTATAAATAAACTGAATATATACAACAATATATTACGAAATAGAATATATAATAAAGTAATACTACAAACAGACACATAAATAGTAAGTATATTTTGTATAGATTATTATTTAATTTATGATATAATATTTCCAGATAATACCCCCGGACCTATTACCATCCATCTTTGAGAATGCCCTCGAGAGTGATGTGTTGTCATCAGTACTGAGAACTGTTCACAACAATATGGACCGTTTCCCTCACTCTGTGGTCGCTTACCTAAAGAATATATGTCGAGTGAAACGATTCTCAGCTTTAGCTATGTTCCTTAGCGCTATAGACAAAGAATGTAAGTAGATTTTTAATATATCGTCGGGGAAAATGCAAATCCGCCTAACTAGCGTGGGATAATTCCGCGTATTGGATGCAGATTATCAGAAGAAAGTTTGAGCTGAAATATTTTCTAAATTAACTTGTTCATTTTTTCACAATACGTAATTATTAAATGTTTAATTTATGGTAGTTACGCGGATTCGCACTATCCCCATACGATTTGATACCATTTAACATAAAGGGATGTGAGTTAAAATTTAGGATGAAAATTCTATACTTGTGGAATACAGCAATTTATTATAAACTTAACATTTCTTTAATGTTATAAGATGTGGTTATATGAATATAATATAGATGGTGGTATTCGAATGTTTCTTCTTTACTGAAAAATTAGAATTTTTTTAGTTACCAAGCCAAATAGATGCCATCTTTATCCCGATATAATGAATAAATATACAGTATGCCTAACTCACTGACTTAAATCAAGACACAATAGTTTAGTTAGTTAAATAAATCATATGCCTTTGAACGTTGCATGTTGAAAACTGCCTCCAAATAAGATTTTTTCTTTCTGTATCTATTTGTACTTTAATTCGATCATACTCCCAATATGGCAATCTTTATTTGGGGTTTTTGTTCTACATTCTGATTTTATAAAGATGTAGGTGATTTAACTGTATTTGTAGTTCATATTTTGTGGAAAAAAGTAGAATATCAGTAAAAACCATGATAAAACCCTTTGATATATAAATCTATAGATATACATAAATCAGGTTTTTTTTTTTAATTAATGTTGTACATGGAAATTAGTACTAGAACTTTATAATGTAAAAATTTATTAACTATATTGTGGTTAAATCAGAAGTTATCTCATGTATTTATGTTAAAAATAACTTTTCCTCATCTACCGAAGGATCCTTATAACTTCTTCATTAAAACCACTAGTGTAATTTAAATATTATCATAATACTGTCACATATATTAATTGCTTTTAAGACTATTGTTTTGTTTAAAACCTGCTTACAGAACAAACATGTTTCATTGAATTAATTGATGTAACGCTTCGTAAGAGAAACGTGTGAAATGTATCGATTCTTAAATAAGATTGCTTAAAATTACTCACGTCCTTACGGAATGAGTGAACTTTAATGGATATAAATAAATATATTTACTAGAATAATGAAATTATGACAATTAGTCCAATGAAAGTGTTTGAGAAATTTTGAGGAAGAAGCAATCTGTATTTCTTGAAGTTGATTAAAGAAATAAATGTGTTGCCTTACATCAGCTACGATTACAAACATAATATTATATTCATGAAAATTATTAATATATTATAATTTTTTATAAGGATGCTAAATTTACAAAACTAATATGTTAGATTATATGAATTATATAATAGGAACTTGTTAATTTTTTATTGAATATTTCCTTTGGACTGTCAGTTCAAACGTTCGTTGAACGCTTTGTTAAAATAATTATCCTTTTAGTATATATCCAATTAAAATGTCTGTATGTATAATTATCGTATGTTCCAGAATGCTCTTACGTGTTAAGTCTAAGTTTCTGAGAATTAGGCTTTAGGCATTTCGCTGTCGAGGAGAATCCATTTAATTAGATTTTATTTTAGTGAAATTGTGAATAGAAAAAAGATATACGGATTACATGCGAAATGTAAAAAATTGAAAAATGTGTGGCAAAGACATTGTTAGACTCTAAGAAGTATTTAACTATATTTTTATTTTATATGTGATAGTAAGAATGTAATTATTTACTGCCGATTGAGCAGAGCAAAGAAATTGTATACAATTATATATTGTAGAATCAAAATATTATTGCATTGTTTCATGTAAAAAATCTTCACGTTATTTAGAACAAAGGAAAGTTAAATGTATTTATTAATTAGTTTTTGAAAATCAGGCAACACTAATGGAAGAACAGAAAATTTATCTGAATGAAGTTCTCTTGATGTATAAAACAATTTTCGATTACACTGAATTTTCCAAGCAGCTTTACATGTGATAGTGTTATTCTATATTAAAAATATATAATAGAAACTAACATTAGATGGAAAACCCGAAAGTAATGTTCCACTTTTTTGTACAACTGAAGAGCATTTCATAGAAAAGTCAAATTCTAAACAAACATCTCTTGTTAATTAGTAAGTTATAGAAATATAATAAAATCTCTATCACTACAACTTACAATCTACCTAAGACTTAGAGATTGCAATGATTAACAATATCATTTCCAATTTCATATTTTTTATACCCACACAAAGATCGTCTTCTCTTCGTACGTAATTTTTTAATTATGTGTCGCGTACATAACGAGTAAGTAAAGTTTAAAGCAACTTAGTAAATAATTTTACTAAAGGTGCTCCAGTCTCTTGGTATCTCTTTGTTGAATTCCATGTTATTTTCATTGTGAGACGGGTGTTTGATTATTTCTTTACCGTAGATCAAATTTGCTTGTCAGAACTTCCCGCTTAGGTAAATGAAATTTCGTCTTTGTAAAAATAACATGTAAATTTTTTTATGAATTTGAACATTGCAAAATATTGAAAATTGGATTTTATTTTCTTTAATGTTAATCAGTTTCGTGGATGAAGGAATTTACAAAAAACCTGGTATTTGTTCACATCATCCGAATTTTTCTTTTATATCTATGTAGTTGAATAAGTACATTTTTTATACTTTCTTCCGGACATAAATGGTTAATATATTTCAAATAACTCAATTTTCAATATAGGGACAAACATATCAGGTTTCCATATTTGTATATTTGTTTTCATATTTCCATATTTGTGCTTCAGAAATGAAATCTGCTATTTAATCTTTTGTTTCAACGTCTTTTTTTTCAAAAACATTATATGACATAATTGTAAAAAAAATCTCAATTAAATAGACAGTATAAGATTTAAAATACTCATTTATTTATTTTTATATATGTTTTTTTAATTCAAGAGAGAGAAAAAATTTAACAACTACTTTAGGTCATATAAATTATAATTTTTCTAAATATTGACACGGAATCCTAATGATACTGCAGTGGTATAAATTTAATACCTTCCTTACAGTTTTTTGTTATTTTTTCCAAGTTTTCAATTCTCGTCGGGATAAACTACACAATTTACAGTTAATTACGAGTAAACCCATCTAGAGAGGCATTTTAGTTCCAGCCTCAAGTCCTAACAACTAACTTTAAAAAATATTTATAGGACTTATACAGATCATTATTTCATATTTTCTGTTGTATTGTGATCATCTATAATAATTAATTGGTATTTCTATAGAAATGAATGGCTATTTAGCTTTTAAAATAGTGAAATTAATGCAAATTGCAGGTTAAGCATTGAATCTATAAATATCCCAAGAGAACTATAAATCAACGAACAAAGGTTCTGTCAAACGGAAGGTAACATTTACTAAATTTATTATTTAATGTCAATTTGTACTGCTTTTCAAATTTATATTTTAAAATCTATGCATTTTTAGAGAATATATAGTAGAAATAATATAATGATCAAGTCAATCTAAAAAGAAAGGAAATGCCATCGTATTAATTTTGTTATGACTTTGATGAACTATTTTAGAGGAATAATTCTAAAGAAATCTTGACACAATTAGAAGGAATAATAAAATTTAAAAGTAATACATTTGTTATATATCAAGACTATATGTACAAATACTTATTTAACAAATCATAGATTTTCTATGTGCCAGCCATTATTTACTATAATTAACAAAAAAGGAAATGAAATATCAAAAAGTTTGCGTGGTGATATTAGAGAACTTTTATTGGATTGATTAAATATTAACAAATTATTAAAGTAAGAATGTTGAACACTTCACAATAACCATAAGTAAGAACAAGCTTATTTCTTAATGCATTAACCGGACAAAAATAGTTTTTCGAATAATAAATTCTTAGTTATCACTTTTAAATCAGTTACTGCTAATTATAGAACATACATCCATGTATATGTTCTCAAATTTTTCTTTCTTTTTAGATCACAGTATTTATTTTGAAAATTACAAATACAGGCAGACTTAAGTATTAAATATCTATAGTTCCAGTTACATATTAATTAAAGTATACATATCAATGTAGAAACTTAAAATTATAATAAGAATAAAACTGAAAATATATCTGAGACAATGTTTCATCCTATAAGTTTAAAATACAGTAGTTCTAACACAGACAAACAAACAAGGGAAGAGATCCTGTCTGAGTATATAAAATTTTAATTATTATCAAATGCGAATCAATACACACGAATAACTTATATTTACTAAAATATCAGAGAAAATAAGCACAATAATCATCCCATGTGGAAGCCAATATGTCTAAAATCTAAAAAAAACAAACTTCCAATGCGGATTGAACTTTCAACCAGAGAAGATTGAAGATGTGTGGTCAAATGAAACCAGACTCACCAGCCATACTGTACAAGTTCTTTTGACAAATTAAGTATTTACCTCAAAATATTAACTAACTAGCCTTTGTACAGAAATTGTTCACTTTTCCATTAATATTATATATATATTTTTAATAACTCTGCCATGACATTTCGTAAACGGGCGCTAGAATTATTGAGAGATGCAAATAAATAAATTATAAATGTTTAATAGCTATTTATATTAATTTTAGTTTGTATTGATTTGAATATATTTAGTGATTTTTATGCATAAATTTAATGAATTATTTAATCTCAATTTTATTAATTACTTGTTTTTTTTTGTGGTTTTTAATGTGTATAAATTTTTACTTATTATTGTTATTATTATTTAGATCTTTCTCGCTTTAATTATTATATATTAATATATTTTAAAACATTGGCCACTTTAAAAAGCTACACATGTAACATATTTCCATTTAATTGTTTTATATTCGGCATTTAAACATGTAGTAGCTGCTAGTGGTCCTTAAAATAAATAAATAAATAAATATCTAATTTAATGCCTTTACTCTATCACTAGTTGCTATTTTATTGCATGTACAGTATTTGCTTGTATATCATT